AATGCAAGTGTACGACGTGCCGTCGGCGGAGACGGTGAGCTTTGTGTGCATAATAATATATGGCTGGGGGGCTTTATCCCCCTGCTCGGTACGCTCACCCACGTCCCACACACGTGAGCCCACACAACAACCATGTGAAGTCCCCGTGACAATTATTTTAGTTATTTATTTTGCGGTTGCTATGGCAATTATATATTATTATTACATGAAAAACAAAATATACAAAACTTTTTTTTATAATATATAATATCGGAGAAATGTATGAGCTAAGGAGAAGGAAAAAAAAAACTGTGACTCGACACGTTTCACCCCCCCTAACCGTGACGTCGGACGCCGCACGTGGTGAAGCGTCAGTGTACGGGGGTCGGGCGAGCGAAAGGAACGGCGGCAGCGAAACCATCCCGCAAATGAAAACGATATATACACATAATATATATATAGTATAGTGTGTGGGTGAGTGTGGGTGTATACGCAATACGGCGGCGACGGGACTCCGAGTCTCGGGACTTCGGACTGCTCTCGGACCGGGCGAACCGGATTTCGAAGACCATATATTATCCGGAGAGGACTCGGCCGCCGCGCGTCGGAGGAGGCGTCCGTATGTATATATATATATATATTTGTGTGTGTATACACACACTTGAGCGACCATCGGGCTGAAGGGGTGCAGTGGGGAAGACCCCTTGAAATGTTTATCGACACACACACACTAGCGCGACTGCGCGTACGGACGCACACACTAAGCACACGAGCGCGAGCGGCGCGACGACCAAAGGTCCGAGTCCCGGAAACCCGGCGTTGGACATAATTTCCGTTCTGCCGCCGCCACTGCCGGCGCTCCCGCACACATCCGGGTCCCGGGGAATCGGCGGCGCGCACTGTATACATATACAACGTCATATAATATAATATATAATCGGCTGTGTTTGCGTATACATATATACACTGCAGCTAAATATAGTATGCCGTACTCGCAAAGGCTCCTATATATATTATAATATATATACCTACACACACACACAAATATGGTGTATGTTTGTTTTTTGTTTGTGTGTGTCAGAGTACATATACGAATAGCACGTGTCCTATATACATATATAATATACCCTGCACACATACATGTATATGGTGTACTTATATATATGCACATTAAATAGATATTTACCTACTATATACACAATATATGTGCGTATGTATACCGTGTGCAGTATACCGTTTCTGCAGCTCTCGGGTTGTACTTTTTAATTTTTTTTTTGTGCGCCACCCCACTGATATACCACGTGCACACAAGTCTTGTCGTGGCCAAACCCGTCGCTTAAATATATAATATTGTTTAGAGGTACCTCTCCACCTATATATAAATATATTCCAAGCCCTATTTGATATATAGATGGACCCTAATGATGGCCAAATCGGGCTATAGGAAATTACATCCGACTTATAAATAGGCATATACATCGCGGACATATGCAATGGTGGTGGGAAAGTCGCAGGAGTATACAATATAATCATACATCATACACGAATTGGTTTTCAAACCTGCGTTTCAACGTTCTCGTAGTATATGGCAGGGCCGTAGACACGAGGGTTCAACTCCCCCACTCCCACCCTCTTACAACATGGAAAGTATATAAATGTATTTATAAACATTTAAAACTACTAACATATTTATAAGTTTTAACCAACCCCACCAAATTAAATTCCTATATACGGCACTGCAGTATGATATACGAGGGGTGGCCAGCGATAGAAGAGTCGCGAGCTGCACAGTGCCACAGTATATAATGAAAAATATGTAAGAACCAGAGAGCAGAATAAAAATGTTCTCAACAATTCAGTGTTTGGAAGGAACTAGTTCTAAAAGCAACGGATTCCTGGAACGAATTCCTTTATAATATAAAGAACGAGAAAATAAACGAGTTCTTTTTTCAAGGAAAAATAAATAAATTTTTCATTCCTTTCCAGTTCCAATAATTTAAACAGATGTAAATAATTAAAATTAAGATATTATATATTATTTTGAATGTGTATTGCCAATTAGTGATCGTTATCGAGTATCGACGTATTTATACTCATTAGTCATTAGTCACTTTATTAATATTTCTCATAAGTTAAAAAATTAGTAAGTAACTATATAAAATATAATTATTTATAAGTTATAACAATAAACGATAAGACAGTCGACTCGACATACATCGGCAAACAGTTTAATTTTGAAGAAAATCTCAAAATAGAAGTATGAAATATGTACTTACTTGAAGGTATATATTATAATTAAAAATTAAAAAACTATGCATTTGAAAAAAAAAACATTGATGATTGAATTAGAATTTTATTTTATTTGGAACTAAAAAAGGAACTCGTTCATTTTCGAAAGGAACGACTAAGGAACGAATTCCTTTTTATAAGGAACTTGCCAAATACTTCAAAAACTAAAATATATAAAATGTGTATATAATACCAAACAATTTAATGAACTAATAACGTACAATAATATCAGATTAAATTTTCTATGGGATAATATTTTTGTCTTCACGGGTATAATAGGTACCTTCCTATTATTATATTGGTAAAAATGTTTTGCATCTTACCAGTCGTGGTCGGCCACCCCTGTGACGTGCCGTCATGCGTATATTATAAAAAAAGCTCTCTGACACAAGAACGACAAATATTCGTTGAAGTTAATTTATCACCACCGCTTCTTTCGTGTAATAATATATTATTATATTATATATTTATAAGGGGCCGCCGTCGTGACTATCGGCGGACATCGCAACGAGATGTCTCCATATTATAATCCCTGACGGACGCTTGAATTGTGACAATGTAAAGGATGATATCAGATAATGTGCCTACATCGACGACCCATCATTCCTGCACCTATTATACAACCCTTTTCCCGAGAACGAAAAGTAAATGGAGCTGTGCAGCAGTGGCGTAATTACGGGGGGGGATTTGGGTGTCGAATCCCCCCCCATGACCCTGTTTTTTTTTTTTTTTTTTTTGTAATCGTCTAACACATTTATGTACTTATTATGGTATATTTTATAGATTTAACAAAAATCACCTGAATCCCATAATATTAAATTATTATCTAACGATATTATACCCGCTAAAAATAACTGATGGATTTTCAACATTATCGGTTAACGGTTTATCGGAATTCGGAATACTCACAATCGCAACGACTCTCCGGACTCCAACCTCCGTTACTCGTTAGTCATTTCTCATTTGGTAATAATCGGCTCATACTGTGAATTTTGTGATATTGTCTAATTGTGTGTTTTCTGAATTAAATTAATACATTATAGTGATTCGTTTTCGAATGAAAGTGCAACACAAATTACGATTTTTTATTTAATATTTATTTATTATTCGTTAATTATTTTTAAAATAAAACAGCGTAAAATTATAATAGAATTTTTTATTTCTAAAAATGGAAGGTAAAAGGAAAAAAGATGGTAATACTAAAAATACACTTTTAACATATTTTTCAAAAAAAAGTCGTAATAATAAAGAAAGCTGTGATGATGTAAGTACCATATTACTATGATCAATTTACATCTTGTTTTTATAACTCCAATTTTTATTAATTTTATACATTTTAAAGGATCATCTAAATCAAACTAAAACTAATGACCCAGAGACACAGAATATTGTATTGTCAGTAGATCAGCCTTCATGTTCGACATTAAAACAAGTAATAATAAATATTATCTAGAAGTATAATTTAGTGCAGATTTTATATAAAAAATTAGTTATTGCATAGTGCCAACTAAGAATACTATTTGCTTAATTGTGTTAATGCTTTAATGCATTGCTAAATACTGCTTTAAATTTTGATTTTTGTTATTTTCCTCAGGATGAAATTATTGATAATGAATTGGAAACTAATTTTAGATCAAATGATATAGGGCTTTTTACTAATTGTACACTTACTGATGCTGATAAAAAGCTTGTAAGTTAAATATAGTAGTGTAAGCTAGCCACTAGTAAACTATTTTGCATACTAAATCCATTATTTTATTTATATAGTATATACAATATTGAATATTGTACTAACTAATAAATATAATTTGATTATTTGCTTTATTTTTAATATAATATTATAGGTGCTTAGAAATGTGTGGGTACCAAATGTAAATTATGAGTTTCCATTGTTGGAAAAATATAAAGCAAGAGGTCTGAAATTTCAATATAAATGGTTCACAGAATTTAATTTTCTTGTTTATTCAGAAATTAAACAAGGAGTTTTTTGCAAATACTGTTTGCTTTTTGCTAAATATGGCGGTATTGGTGGCCAGCCTCTGGGGCAACTAGTTTCAACTGCTTTTTCAAACTGGAAAAAAGCAAAAGAGGTGTTTAATTATTTTCTATGTATTTAATTATTTTAATTATCTATTATTGATATCTTTTGTTTATATATTTTATAGATTAGTTATATTATATGCACTTTTAAAATTATTATATTTTCTGTATTTAATTGTATTACGTATTCTTATTAATTTTAGACATTTCGAAATCATTCCCAGTTGAAATACCATTTATCGTCTGTATTAGATGCTGACCATTTTTTAACTATACTTGACCATAAACAAGTTACTATAATTGAAAAATTAGAAACAAATAGGACAGAAAAAATTAAATTGAATAGAAGTCGCCTAATTCCAATAATTGAATGTGTCATATTATGTGGACAACAAGAAATTGCACTCAGAGGACATCGCGATTCTGGAAAAATAAACGGTAACTATTAGAACTTGTTAATATGTACTGTATTTTACTATTTTATATTTTAATAATGTTGAGTGGTCTAGTCAATGATATCTTAATTTATTAGTGGTTATTAAATTGTATAAACTTAAAACTTAATTTTTATTATTGTAGAATTTGATAATCAAGGTAACTTTCGGGCAATTTTAAAGTATAGATCCCGTGGTGATACTTTTTTAAATAGTATTATAGAAGAAGAAAGAGGTTACAAATACATATCACCAACAATGCAAAACGAAATTATTTGTATTTGTGATAAATTAATTTTAAAAGAAATAGTTAGGAAAGTAAATGCTGCTGAGGGGTTTGCAGTTTTAGCTGATGAAACAACAGATATTGCTACAAAAGAACAACTGACATTATGCGTTCGTTTTATAGACAACAACAATATGGTTAATGAAAGTTTTCTTCAATTTGTTATTATTCACAGTTTAACGGGAAATGACCTGGCATCTGCTATAATAAATGGTAATGATTTTTAAAAACAATCATTAAAGTAATTTATTGATAATTGCATACTAGTTGTAATGTGTTTTGTGTTCTCAGGTTTAAAAAGTTGTGGTATTAACTGTGAATATTTAATTGGACAAGGGTATGATGGTGCATCAAATATGAGTGGAAAATACAAAGGAGTCCAAGCAATAGTTAGAGAAGAATATCCTAAAGCCATATATGTCCATTGTGCTGCACACACATTAAATTTAGCAGTTTCAAAAGCATCAAATATTCAACCAATTAGAAATTGTCTCAGTATTATTGAAAAACTTTACGACTTTTTTAATACCCCAAAACGGAACAATGTGCTTTTGAATTGTATTAAAAATGCAAATGAAACACCAAATGCTAAAACATTGAAGAGGCTATGTGCTACGCGTTGGATACAAAGATATGATGCTGTCAATGATTTTGCTGAACTGTTTCCATTTGTCATGGATGCTTTAGACAATATTTCAATTTCTCATGACTTATCAGGAACAGATGCCTCTATACTGTCTAAATCTATTGACTCGGAATTTATTATATCACTTCAAGTTGTTAAAGTAAATCAATAGCTATATGGTTACCTATAATTTCCTGTAAATTATTTTTATAATTATATTTATGTAATTTTAGTTATTGTTTTCGTATGGCTTACCTTTGTGTAAGCAATTACAAAAAATAAGGATTGATCTGAAAGAAGCAGTGGAACTTTCTAATGATGTTATAAAGAATTTAGAACTAATAAGGGCCAACGCAGAAGAAGAGTTCCATAAACTATTTTTACAGGCTGAAGTGAGTGTTATTTTCAAAAACTAATTATTAATTAACAATAATATTATAAATGTATTATTTACAAATGTAATACATTTTTTTTTTTTTTAGGTTATGGCTTCTGTATTTGAACTTGAACTAGCTGTAAAAAGAATTACAAAAAGGCAAGCAAATAGAGGAAATCCTTGTTCAGATAATGCAAATTTAGATGTTGAAGAATACTATAGGATTACAATTTTTATTCCATATTTAGAGTTTTTTATAAGCGAGTTGACTGAAAGATTTTTATCCCATGCATCTATTTTTAATGGTAGCTATTTAATTATTATAAAATTGGAATTTCTTTGCACTTTGATTTGAAAATTTTGTAACATTTTAATTAATTAATTATTTGATTTAACCATTCTATAGGATTTGAATGCTTATTTTCTAAACATGAGCTTACTGAAAAAGATGAAGTTGAATTTACTGAATTAATTAAATTTTACACCCCAATGGTGTCTAATGATTCTTTGGTTGAATTAAAACTGTGGCGAACCAAGATACAAAGATCTGAAAGAATACCTAACACCGGTCTTGAGGCACTAGATATTTGTAATAAAGATATCTACCCCAATATTTATTTTCTCCTTAAAGTTCTATGCACATTACCAGTGTCAACATCATCGCCAGAACGTATGTTTTCAACTCTGAAAAGAGTGAAAACATATTTAAGAAACACAATGTCTGAGGTTTGAATCTCAATTAAAATATATTCAATATTTTTCATAATATACTTTCTGTGGTAGAGACTAGAGATTTATTTTTTTGTTCCGCAGAATCGATTAAATGGTCTTGCTATGTTGGCTGTTCATAGAAATGTCAAAGTTGACCCTGAAGAAGTGCTTAATGAATTGGCATTAAGACCACGTAGAGTGGATCTTTTATTGTAATTTGTTATGTAGTATCTAGGACCTACGTAGTACCAATAAAGTTAATGTTTAAATGTACCTACATATTTTGTTATTATTTATTTTGTTGTATACAATATTGTGTACTTGTATTGAGAAGTGTTTATTGCTTATATGATATAAAAAAATATTGAGGAGGGGGGGGGGGGTAAATGGTGAAATGTACAAAAATTTCATCCCCCCCCACAACCATGACCAAATTACGCCACTGCTGTGCAGTTGTACATTATACGAGCACAGAGACTATATCGTTGCGTAGATCACGATAATTCTTGTTAGATTGTTATTATTGTGCGACGACGTGTATCGCTCGTCTATCGGCACCTCGTTTTTTAAATCGAATAATGTATATCCAATAATGCCGAATCGCGAGAGAGCCATATAGTTACGAGTTGAGCGACTTTTAGTATATTATATTGTATATATCAAGCGTACAGGTACCTATTGTACGGCCGTGTATAGGAACATAATATAAAGAAACAATAACGATTGTCGGGGACCATTCAGTGCATGTGTGTGTGTGTTGTATATATATATTATAGTCTTAACCGGGGTGAATACGTTTGGGCGCATTTCCCCTCAAAACACAACACTTTAAGGCGTAAATCCATATAGGTACAACTTTGGGCGTAACACTTAACTACCTACCTACATATATTAGCACGATTGAGCATATATATATATATATTTCCCGATATATAATCACGTCTGGTCACATGTTACTTATAGCAGTCTGAGCCAAAATTGTATATTTGTACTTTTATTAGTACCAAATTTTTTAAGACAATAGTATATTATTCGTAATTGTGAGTATTTAAATTATCTTAAACATTATCTTTAGAAACGTTACCTATTGGTAATATTAACTAACTATTTTTATATGATAAATTTAACTGATATAAATACTCTCTATTAACTCACATTGTTACTTATTATATATTTAAAATTATTTACTTATAATGTATTAATTTGAGTGTAAGCAATTTGCCAATGACCCATGTAGTCGAGGCCTTGTTTCTTTATAATAATAAAAAAAAAAATATGATAAATTTGTTGTATATTTTTTTTGCCACAATATAATTTGTTTTTATGTAATTCATTGTGTTTTTATTCAATTCGATAGTAATTATCAAAATGAAAAAGAATTAAAAGAAAATTGTTTTTCCTACACTTCCGCGAAAACTTTAATTTTAATGCAGTTGTTTTCTTAATTTATTTGTTATTTTTCTTACAGCGCCATTTATTTTTAAATTGTTACCTTTTTTTTGTTCATAATAAGTTTTCATAAATTCCCTTCAAAACGTAGATATCATTACAATATCTTCATTTACGTTTTTGATAACATGATGCCCAAACGAGTTATATCACGCCTCCTTAACCACGAAACTTCACGATTTGCGCTCGACGCTTTGCAGACCACTATAATTCGATATTATTGAAATGCAATCGTCGACGATAATATTTTATGATTATGTTGCGAGAATAACGCGGGCACGTAAAAGGCAGGCGAAAAAAAAACCACGATGAATATAATAATATAGTTACGTTATAGGCGCGCGTGACTCGAGGAAAAGCGTCTGGCCTCAGACGTGCGTCAATTTGACGCCGGACGTGCCTAAAAACAACAAAACGGGCCTTTGTAGTGCCGCTGTTTACCGCCTATGTACACCCACCGCACTGCTCGGTTTATATTGTATATACACTATACCACGAAGGTGCGAAGTACATCCGGGTGGATATAACATTCACGAAATATACATTTCCGGCCATGACGTAGAACGAGCGTCGGGTGAAGAAAAAATAAAAACGGACGTCGAATTTCAGTGCCACCGTGTACCTATATATATATATATATATTTATATTATATATATGGGAGCACATTAATAATGTATATAACATCAGTATAACGACGAGCGAAAAACGAAAGCAGTGCAACTTTTGAAGAGCTCTTGCTGTATGTATAATGTACAGAACACTTCGGCAACACATAATGTACACACCACTCCGTTTTGCAGGAGTGAAAAAAAATTTGACTTTAGTGCTACAGCATATTATTATTACGTAGACCACAGACGGTTAAATGAACCCATTTACAGAAAAATAATTTTTTCAAAAACTATTGACATTTTGATTACCTATATTTATTTATATTTTTTATGATCATTAAATATTTTATTATAACACAAAGTTTTTACTTCTTATCGTTGACAAATGACAACGCATTTCCTTAATAAAATATTCCTATATAAGCAGAATATTATTCGAAGTAATTCTATGTAGAACAATCCTATTTATGACAAGTAATTATATTTAGTGATAACTAGGGCTAGGATTTTAGAATATGTTATGACTTAAGAATCTCAAAAAATAATCTAGAAAATATACTTTTATGCCATAAAAATTAGTACCTATAATCCCCTTGATTTTAGATTATGAGTGGAGCGATGAATGTATTGGTTTAACAATGATGTGTTTTTTTTCCATCTGTCAATACCTCTGGAGCAGTAAATAATAAATATGCTTCAATTTTTATTTGAGCATCTTTTCTTACAGGAAATTACATCTAGTTATTATGTTGGTTTTTAAGTTAAAAGTAAAAAATTCTCAATAATTTTCTAGAAAATTCAAAAAAAAATAAATTAAGAATTTTTCCGCAAACCAATTTACGAGAAAATCGTTGTTGTTTTTGTTTAATAACTCATATACAAATCATCGTAGATACTTTAAATTTTCACTAAACGAGGCGTTGAGTTATTTGAAAGCATGAGAAATTTTCGTTTTTTTTATATTTAGTCTAAGTATTGTTGATAAATAATTTTTCACCAAGTCAAAAATTTGAAAATGTAATACAAGTTTCCTCGGAAGTTTTTAAATTTGAGCGTAAATCCACAATTTTTTCTAACTAAATCTGGAATTTTGACAAAATTCATCAAAATCATAAAAATCTGAAAATTATTTTTTAGTTATAAAATGTTCTATTTGTAAACCTAAGGATTGAAATTGAAAATAAGGTTGATCATAAATAGTTCATACTGTATTCAAAAAATCTAAAAGAAAAAGAAAAGACTTACAGATATTTTAAGTTCAGACGAAATTAGATATTTAAAAAAAAGAAAAACAATTTGAGTTATTTTGTTTGAATTAAAAATATTATTCGTGGCACGTGGGTAGATGAAACTTTTACAGTACCTACCTATACTATTATATATTTTATACACACAATGACATTTTAAAATTCAATGTTTTTGGTGTATACATATTACTGATACTATGTAAAATAAATTACTCTAACAGTAATAATATTATCATACAATTTATTTGATAGAATATAGGCTCACACACCGTCTTCCCTCACAATCGTTTTTGTGGGTATACAATGATTATATTTCATTAAATTAAAATTTAACACATCCATTGCAGTGACCCAAATGACACCTACAGCGGGGCCAACTTGATCACCTGATTTAGATTTAATACATGTTATGATCCAAAAAACATTTTTTATTAAATTTAAAAAAAGGTTTGTAAGACTGCACAATTTTGAGTCATTGCCACATGGACTTTGACCTGAAAAAATAATTATTCTCATTTCATTTTTCTTTGCCACTCATCATTTTGATTTTTATGTCGTACAGAAAAATTACGATTAATATAATATCTTATCAGGTGAAAACCTTCCTGGCAGGCTTAAAAGTTATTTTTTAAAGTAAAAAAAAGGAATAAAAAACGATTTAACTGATTTTCTGAAAAACCCGTTAAAACCGCGGTTATTTCATATTCGAATTCCGTAACCGAAACTAAAAGCTTTAAAACTCTTTTTAAAACCGTAACTGAAACCTAAAATCTTAAAAAAACCGGTTACTAAACCCAAACCGAATCTATGGAAATTAAAAACCTATCTTAAAACCGATTAAAATTTAAAACACATTTCTTCACATTTTATAAGGTAAATTACCTATATTATTTATAATTCTAAGTAAAACAAGTAAATTTTATGCAAAGACAATATTTTGTTTGAATCCCGATGCTATTACTGAGTATTACGAAATATTAATAGGTAATACGAATATTATTGTACTTTCATTACAATAGTCGATCTCCGGTAAAACCTCTGAATTCGGCCGGTAAAATCAGTAATCGACTATTGTAATACGGGTAATAATTGATTCAAAATTAAAATAAGTACAAATATCACAATAATTTATGTTTTTTTTTTCGCCCCTATGCGGCCATGCACGTCTGTATTGTTGTTATTTGAAGTATTAGTGTATATTATTATTTATTAACTTTGTCACAGTCGTCAATGTCATCATCAATCGCTTATGTCATTATCATCAGTCTCCTCAGTGTGTCCCCTGAATTACAAATGTGTGTACCAAACCTATAACTTGTATTTGAATCTTAACAATAAACCTTTTTAAATAACAATATTTTCAATTGTCCAATATACTTTTTTAGTATCCATTTAAATTAATATTTTGTTCAAATATAAAATATCATAAGCATCAATCAAATAACAATAGATTTATAATACTGTAATACAGTGTGATGTTATTGTAAATAACAATTAAATATTAAAAATTATCGAATAATGATCTCAACTTTTTGTTGTATACAAAAGTAGGTACCTACAACATAATATTAAAGTTACAACACGAAATTAGTTCTGCTGAACGTAAATTTGCTATATTGTATGTATACCTACACTAATTATACATATCGGACATAATTTAGAGCTTTAAGCTCAGTCTTTAACAGTTTCCTAATAGATAATAAAAATCGGGTCTACAATTACGAAATTTCCAAAACTGTTATTGTTACCGATAAATTTGAAAAACATATCTTAAAACTTAAAACAAAACCAGAAAATGTAGAAGACCACTCTCAAAAACTGAAACCGTAAAAGTTCAAATTTTAAACGGTTTCAAACCCTGTTCAAAAATCTTAAAATAACATTTAATATCGGATTTTAGTGTTGACAATTCTAAAGCCCCTGAAATATTCTAAAAAACAAAAAAATTACCTTAAACAGAAATTTAAAAATCGTCAAAAAATGCAAAATAAAAACTGCTTATTCTGATTCAAACAGACATGAAATGTGTATATTATAAAACGAGCATATATCGAGCGTATATAGCTAGCTTTGGAAAACAATGCAAAGTGCAGTGTAATCCCAGTCTTGGTTATAACTCAGAAGAGTTTAAAGTTTAGATAAGGGGAGTAGTGGATCAACATTGTTTGAGGTATACCCATTATGTACCACATCACACCGCTCATCTTAACTTTAAATACTTATGAGTTCTATTTCATAAACTACCTACTCGTTCAAAATTCAATTTTTGTACATAGCAGTACTGCAAAAATATTCTGCTTCGAAATGAGGAACTAAAAATGTATGACATCATTGAAAAAGTAAAAAACTTAAACATTTATAACGATAGAAATAGTAAAAATAAGACTTTTTTAAAATATTGTTTTGTATTTTGATTTTTGATTTTGCACTTATATAAAATTATAAACAATTATTAAAACTCTTAAGAAGTGATAAGTGTTCTGCTTTGATATTAGAATCTTTCTGTATATAATATGGTGATTGGTGAACCCCTCCTACATATTATAACGAAGGCGTTTTCGCATAATACCCATATATTATTATATCTGTATATAATATATTATATTATAGCAGACAAGTCGGGCGCGAGTCTATCGATTTTTTTTTAAAGTATAATTTAAATTAAATTTACTCCACGATGAAAAAAATGTGACAACGCTTAAAGAACCGCGTTTTATATAAACGAATGGAATTTTAATAAATTGGTAAGGTTTAATGAATCGTGTTCGACGAAAAAATGTAACGAGATTAAAAGTTAGCTGGGCACTTTGAACGAGAAAAAATCTTAAAAGGAGCTTTAACGTATTTAAAAATCGGCTGATGTATTCGCGAATTCACAGCTATAGGTATACTGCAGTGTTATAATATGTATTTGTATGCGAGTGTATATTTAATTTTGCTTTAGTGGGTGGGGGAGGGGGCAAGAATACGTTATTTAGTTATAATAATATATACCTATACCGAACTTTCTGCTGGCTCGACATTATCTGCCATAGTAGTCGACGGTTTTTGGCTGCGGAGCTGTTCTGCAGGAGATACGGCAGAACACGCACACGATATATTGTAATTAAATTGGCCGCGCAGCAACCGCATTATTATACACGTACCTACGAGACGTATATATTATGTGTATACATATACATACATATATATATATACATAAACATATACATAAGTATATATATATATATATGCCCGTATGACGGGATTTAAAAACGACATACGGTTATCGCTGCACGCGCGGCAAAGGATTTATGTGGCGTATATAGTCTAACCTATATATACAGTTGAGCACCTGTACAGGAGCGGATAAGAGAGGGGGCTATACGGAGACCGAAGACTCCCCAACCCCCAGCCCTTACATACTGAAGTATATGTACAGCGTGTTTCCTTTTAAAGATATCACACGAAATATTTCTGTCCAGTGACATTGGATTGAAATTGGGTTTTGGGTATACGATAGCTATGCATAATATAGGGAATACTGAAATAACATTTTTGTCGACGATTTTCCAATGTGTTTAGCCCTTTCATAGTGTGCATGCACGATATGACTTGCATTTTTCAAATGGCTGCACATATTTTCGACATCCGCTGAACAGATCGGAGTTTTTATGAAATTTTTACTTTTTAACGACCCTGGCTCTACAACCAGAGGCACAACTATAAGGACATTTTTCTGAAGAGGCTAAAATTCTATCAGCAGCACAATTCCTGATAAGTAATATTTTAAACTAAAATATGATTAAAAAACTGGGGGGGGGCATAGTCCCCCCTAATTTCACTTATGTCCACAACCAAAAATAAACTGAAATACAACGAGATAAATTTAGGTCAAATGCGAAACTATGGTAAATTACAGGATGTTTGCTGAAAATTTAAATAATCTGGTCATTTAAACAGAAACATTAACTTAAACAATTTGAAAATCATCAAAGAAAAAATAAGTATTTCAGTATTCCTTATAAATAGCTCCTCCCGAAAACCCCATTTCATGCGACCCTTGGGGTCACTGGCTAGAAAAATTTCGTGTTACTTTTAAAAGAAAACACACGCTGTATAAAGATAATAATATATTACAAAAATATCGTTGCCGTTTATTATAGTTAATTTATAAACGTATGTCTCTAATAACGTCGGGTACCTACGATAGTTACAATACGTTTTCCGTTTTATACGTTCTTCACTTTTGAAAATTACTTGATACAATATATGATGTTATTTTATATGACATACATAGGTTCATATTTTTTGCCAAGCCATTGTAGTAAAATATTGATAGTATTATATAATGTATATAATATATATATATAGACAACAGTATCATGGGCGTTCTCTCGAAGCGGATATGGCTATATATCTCCCAGTGGCCTTTTTTTTTAATAACTCCAAATAACAGCTGCAGGTATTCCTACTTTTAATATCGAAATGTTTTTCATACACGTAATTCGCTGTAATATAGTGGAAACAATAATAATACTATATTGTATTTTGTGATAATTGATAAATAATTTTTGTTCATATTTATTTTTTATCGTGCCTTTCAGCCATTTGAAAAACGTGTTACATATTTTTATCTCTATTCAGACATTCAAACTGTTTATATTTACTAAACTAAGAATGTATATATCTGGTGAAATGCAAGAAAATCGTAAATTTCCAAAATATGCAACTATAGCAAATGCATTAGATATCAGCTAAGTTTATGTAGTCATTCAATAGGTAGTCATTCTATTTAATTATTTAAAATATCATGCAACATACCGTCCGTACCAGTATAATATCTTAGTCGACTCCTGTTGTAGAGAGTACAATTTCATATATGAAAATAATGAAAACCCATGTTTAATATAAACACAATGCTGATTTATATGTAATTTAGCTATAAATAAAGTAGGTAATGCGACTTAGGTATTGACTATTATAATATTTTAAATTGTACGTACGTGAATTTGGCCCCACCATGTTATGATAAATACACCAAAATTTTGCAACATTTTGCAACTAATTTGTAACTTTAGGCAACCGGTAAAAAAAAATTTGCAACCTTATATTTTTGTAATAATCGCTAAACCAAAATTGGTGGGGCCAAATAGGTTAGTTATCCACGAAAAAGTGGTTAATCCCAAAGAAAAGTTTGATGACATCAAGTTCGGCTTAAAAATCAAGAAATGTATATACTTTTATATATTACTAGCTGATCCAGTGCACTTCGTTGCCCGTTAAATGTACCAACTCTTTATGACTCAAACTTTGTTCAATTCGCTATTTAATATTCGGTGTATTTTATTTAAAACTTATCTTAACTTTCCGTTGTCCGGAATAAAAATTCTGATTCGCAGCAGTATATTATCAGGTAAACAATCTACCTGTGGTAGATCGCACACCCCGTGCTTTTTGGGACGTAAGTGTATGATTTACCTCTAGAGTATCAAAGACCAAAGTTATACCAAGTTTATAGTTTTTATTTAATTCCACATACAGCTGATTAATATATTCAATTAGTACAAAATCCTAACCCAACCGTACTAAAATGTGATGAATAAAAAAATAACAAAATTGAACCTTTTTTAAATTAGGCTATCTTCTACCCAGAGGTCTAATTTACACACAAACACTAATTTTTATATATATAAAAAGAATAATGAGCTAAGGGAATGGTCAAACGATACAGATCAGCACCTACTGGGTGTGATCATTTTTAAATCAGCCTATGACACTCACAAAGAACATGGCTATCTATTGCTAAAGAATTTTCAAAATCGGTTCAGTAGTTTCAGAGATTACTTTCGACAACGGTAACTAACGACTTCTCTTTATATAATAGTATGGATAATAATTATATTTTTTTTTAAAATATGGGTACAGTCAAAATAATATCTCTATATAAGATTTAATGTACCGATTTTTTAATTTTATTTGGGGGGGGGGGGGTTAAGACACCTCAGCTAACTTCTTGGCTAACTACTATCCTTCTCCATTAAAAATCCGCACTGAAATACTGAATAAATAGTGTGCCACCCAAATATGAGAGACGATATTTATATAGGTAGTCGATGCAAGTATACAGTGAAGAAAATGAATGAAATGTAGGTGGGGGTGAGAAAGGTTATTCCTTATTATGATAGGCATAATCACTATACGAGGTCCGAAAAAACGGACTTAGTCTGTACTTTATGGGCACGTGTGAAATACACATAGGTAACGCCACATACAATAGTGCAGGGGTGTCCAACCCGCGGCCCGCGGTAGATTTTGATGTGGCCCTCACTTCAATTTTAAAACCATGAATTAATTATATATAATATATTAATATTACGAGAACAAATTTATTTTAAAAATATAAGCCAACCATCAAATAACTATTATGGATTTAGCTTTTTTAGTTGACATAACTACTCATTTAAATGAGTTAAATGTACGTCTTCAAGGTAAAAATCAACTCATTAGTAATATGTTTCAAATAATAACTGCCTTTGAACTGACACTTAAATTATGGCAAAGTCAAGTTAAGGTGAATAATTGAATAATTTTATGTATTTCCCTGTGTTGGCCGGATACAATCCCAAGAATAGCGAGGAATATGCTTCTTTGATTTTAATTTTAACTAATGAATTTGAAACCCGTTTTCAAGATTTTCTTAAGAATAGTCAACTCTTTGCTATTTTCGCAACATTATTTTCGGATGATATTACTGCTGTGGAAACTAAATTTCAAATGGAATGCATTGAGTTGCAATCAGATATTCAACTCAAAGAAAAATTCAATCAGTCATTTTTATTAGATTTTTATAAATTATATCTACCCAAAGAAACATATCCAGTCCTTCATGACCATGCCTTATTCATGTTCTCGCTTTTCGGCAGTACTTACATTTGCGAACAATTGTTTTCAAGAATGAAAAACACAAAGAGTAAGAATCGGTCCACTATATCAGACAAGCACCTTAAAAGTTGTTTAAGGATTTCCACAACTTCAATCGATCCACATATTGATTCATTACTTCCACAAAAAAAGCAATTTCAAATTTCACATTAAAAAAAAACTAATGACCTTTAACTTTTTTAAACTAAAACTTTTTTTATTATAAATAAATATTTTTTTCTGTGTATTTATAATTGAATTATTAAATATTAATACTTATAAAATTATTTCTGCTTATTATTCACTATTGTAAAATTATAAAAAAATGTATTGTTGTATTATAGATTATAATTTAATCATTAAATTTGAATGTATTATTATTAAAAAAAGAATGTGGCCCACAACAACTTCTACCTATATGATGTGGTCCCTGTCTTCACAAAAGGTTAGACACCCCTGCTATAGTGCATAAGTGATTTTAATAATATTATATTATATACTATGCGTCCAGAAGCATTGGTGGCGAATCTGAACTTTGATCGAAAAGAAACCACACGCCAAGTATACCTATATGGAAACTATATTATATTGTGTATTCTAATCTCGGGTAAATAATTGAATAAAATCGGCTGAAACCAACGCCCCCGACCTATGGCTTACAGCCCCTTAGCCAGTCATAACTCGTCCAGCGTGCATAGTTAAACCCGGCCTGTCTGCAGTACTATTTATAATATATTTTATGCATGGTATGCACATCGCGTATACGTATAGTGTGACGTCCAGCTGCACGTCCGTGTGGACTGTAGGCGAATAACAATTTGGGTCGAGATTTCGAGTACTCATATATATAATATACGGTGTGGTGTGTGTGGTGTGTGTGTGTGTGTGTGTGTGTGTGTGTGTGTGTGTGTGTTGTGTGTGTGTGTGTGTGTGTGTGTGTGTGTGTGTAATAATAATATAACGCGCTGGTGTGGCGCAGATGGAGGGTGCGAGGACGAGGGTGGATATATATATATATATATATACGCACGATTTGACGGAGAAAACGATCGTAAGCACGAGCTTGCAGCTTGTACGAGGGCGTATGATATATTACATGTATACATGCAGTGTAGTATATATACAATATTATATACATTATACACGATATAACCAGCAGCTAACCCGCGTGCGCGAATTATTTAATTGAAAAAAATCTCGGGCTGTATATAATATTATAATGTATATACATGTATAATGTGCAATCCTGCAGTAATGTTCAATCTAAATCGTTCACGTTTTTTGCGATGTTGCTGCAGCGTATATACAAATATATTTTTCAAGTACATACATAACCAAAACACTGTCGACATGGGTTTTCCGTACCGGAAATCGAAGGATTTGGTCAGGTTCTCACCCGACCATTCCCGTCTTATATCTGCAGACGGTTTAAAAAAAAAATCATCATTATTATATTATCTATCGAAGTTATAATCTGATTCACGTAGGTACAGTTCAAAATTCATATTTTTATTTAACTTTAAAAAATAGAAATAATTGCAAACTAAATAATGCGATTAGCAAATTATTACTGCACTCCTAAACCAAAAGGCACTAAGCCACAAAATTTGATAAAATAGTTTATAATTATTAAAACATTCGTTATTTAAGCACATTTTTTGATTCCTTAGCAAAAATACCGTATTAATAATAGATATCACAATGTGGTTAGACACGTATTCACAAATAATATTATATGAATATATTAAGCAATACTACACAAAACGAACTATCAAACACTATATATTATGATAAGCAAAAAGGCAGTAACTGATCACATTATACGGTAGGTACTTGTTAATATTGGATCACACGTGGTATTTTCGTTTAGTATTGACAATAATTGTACAGTCGTATCCACGATGTAGATATTTTATCAACATCGTGGCCTTATAATACGATAAGTTTTTTTAATGATACTCTCACGTCTGGTCAGCGAAATCCTGCTATTTTATTGCTATTTTAATCCATGGAGTAGAAATAAACTCATTTTCCATAATAAGTACGTTTTTATCATTGATGTTTAATGGTCAGACAATGCACATGCCACAATGTATAAATAATTCTCAGGCTGCATTTTCCCTCTACAAACAAAGTCTCTGCCTAAGCTCCTATAACCTAAGCTGTACAGTGGACGTATATGTGTTTTTAGGTATTAAAAGGTATCTTAGAGTTTATCCATGAGTGTTATTGGATTCTGCAAGAAAAGTTATTTAAAGAATCATTTGTTATTTGTTTTATTTTGATAAAGTAATAAAAATAAGAAGATGATTTTTAAAAAGTTATTTTTTTCAAAACTATTCTACATTGTTGCTGACTGCCTTTTGACTTAGAGCAGAATAGAAAAACTATACCAAAAAAAAGCGATTTATTGAATGTAGAGCGTGGAGTGTAGATTTTGGATACATTTTATAATGTACATCAATCGCATTTGGTTTATTATATTTCTATGTAACATAATGTTATCTGTTACAGTTTAATTTTACTCTAATTTAGCTATTTATAGTGTGGTGCATTCCTATGTTAGGAGTGGAACAACTGAACAAGTACGATAAATGTGATGAGGGAATATATTGATCAGAAAAGCATCCCGGAAAGTCAGTGATCGAAGCATAAAATTTGATGAAGACATTTGCATATGACATGAATAAAATAAATATTCTAGTTTATTTATCTGGCCTCACTCAAAGAGTTCTAGTTGGAATTTAATTTTCAGAATAATCCCTGTGACCCTACATTTATTTCTTTGATTCCTATAAAAATCCTTTTATTTATGACATGGTTATTGGAAGTTAGGTATACTTATATGCCCGATTTATCTAATAGAATGATTTCGTATTTTGATATTTACTGCTGGTAAAAATATATAAGTTGAATTAAGTTCGTATAATATAATATGGTAACTATATATAAACGTTGGTAAAATGCAAATGTGAAAGTTCCTTTATAATTAAACGTGTTTATAAATTCCCACTCAGTAATAAAATGATCAGAGCCGGCTATATATAGATAATAATATATGAACCCGAACCCTTTCTTGAAACTAATGATTTTGAATTCAGTAACCCTCGGTCGTTACTTGTTATTCGGGTTGACGTCATAATGGAAATTGGTAGAAGTTAAAACTCTTTCAGACAAATGCGTGTATAATAGATTTTATACGGAAACTAAGCATGAAGTTGCACAAAGTATAAACAAAATTTCGTAAATTTGAAATAAGAAAATTAAAATTTAGATACATAGTAATAATATATAATGCTAATGTTAAAACTTATAAAATAGTAAATTATACTAATGACCTCAGATGCTTAAGCCTCACTTTATTCACTCATAAAAAAAAAAAATTAAGTAAGTACCTACCTATCAAATTGTATGTCCTATATGTAGGTACACCTAAAATTACGATTTTATAATATTACCGATGGTCGTAATGTCATATTATTGGATCAACAAATTAATTGTATTCACACTAGCTTTAATTGTATTAAATTCTACGTTTGAATGTGCCGATTGATGGTAAGTAATTTATTTTGAATATTAAAACCACTGCAGTATAATATTACTACCATTACTACACAATTAAATATTATACATTTATAGTTTATGGAAACTTACACGAAATATTGTTTAGCTGCTATTTCAATATAGTACCTACATAATATATATTGTCATAAACTTATATGTGCCCGAAATTGAATCAATTCTAAAAACAGGTCAACAGTATCAGCTAGCGGCTGACGCTTATATATATGTTATACTTATCGATTAATCAATTAATACTTAATTCTTAACGTATTTTACAACTATTCAACTATTGTACATCAATTATAATTTATAATATTGTAGTATATATTTACAAACATTAAAATATATAAACGCATTTAATATTATAGGCATATTATATTGAATAAGTGGCACCAGACCGCCTGAAATCCATCAACAAACAACTGAAGTAGAACCGAATATTCGATAGTTTTGAATTGTTAATCCCTAATTTCTAAGTTTTAATAATAGATATAGGTAGGTACTCTATCAATACTTAACCACAACTACTCAAGCAGTAAATACCACAGGTAACACCCAACAACCCACCCCGAAGTAAAAGAGCTGTGATCTGTTTTATCACATATACAGGTTGTGTATATTAAGAATAAATATATTGAATCACTGTATATAATGTGCATTTAATTATCACGCAAACAATTTTCAATGAAATATATTATAAATCATTTATTTGTATATTTTAAATGAATAAATTAAAACACATAGAATAAGTATGTGATTTTCAATTGCATAATATATACGTTTAAAATAAAATAATGCGATTTTGAAGTTCTTTATTTACTTACTTAAAAATTACCTAACGAATTTATAGTTTTATAAAATAAACTCGGGTATAGTCCCAAAAGTTCTATAGGTGAAACTAAAATTTAGATTGCCAAATGCCAACGAAAGATTGATACATTGTTACATACAATTTAAAACAAAATAAGTTCTGAAATTAAAAGCTGAAAAAAAGAAAGCTCTGTAATAAAAAAGACATAAGATGGTTTTTTATATAAATAAGATTTTAGGTAAACATTATTATAAAAAAACTGACAGCAAATAATACAGCAAAATAAAAAATTTTTAATTATTTAGACCTACGCCATAAAAGTAAAACCGTAAAATGTCTCCCTGGCCCCTATAGATATAAAATTTCATATAAATCTTGAGCTATCGAAATCAAAAAATAAAATACAGTTCCAACTATATTTTTAAACAAGTTAGGAAAACCCACTCTGCGAGTCACTCTATATTCTCGGCTTCTAAACATACTTTAATTTAATACAACGTAATAAATTATGATTCCAAAAAGAATTTATGTAAAGTTTCTACGGAAATAAATAAATACCTTAATATCAACAATCGTACTATGTACTGGTAACTATAACGAACGGATGGACGGATGAATGGCAGGGGCAGACTGACTAGGGTTGGGGGTGGGCGAACCCCAAATGGGTTTGGTGATAATTTGGCCTAATAACTTATAAATATTTTATCGATAGCCCAAAATTGGGCCGAATTTTCATTTTCCAGTCTACCCCTGGTGAACCAGTACTCAACGTGACTATATAACGCGTGTTCTAAACAAA